CGGGCCATACCGGTGCTGTTGGAGACCAAGATGGCAGATCACAAGAAGCTTATAGAGGAACTGCAATATGACCTGCATATCCAGTTACCGGCAGTAGGTTTATCTGGGGGCATAGTCATCATGTGGAAAGAGAACATCCTCCAGGTAGATGAAATATCAGCCACACCATAAGGTATCCATGCAATGGCTAAGTATTACCCTCCAACCCGCCCTTGGTGTTTTTCGGCTATTTATGCAAGCAACTATCTAGAGGACAGGAAAACTCTTTGGGGAAATTTGATAGATGCCTATAACAACATAAATGGTAGTTGGTTTGTGGGTGGGGACGTTAATGAAGTCTTGAAAGCAAGAGACAAGTTTGGTGAAAACTGCATTAACACCAATAAGCAATTTGTTCTAGAATTGCATTAACCAATGTAAAATAGTTGACCTAGGCTATAAAAGCAGTAAATACACTTAGACTAACAAGAGATATAGGAACAGGACTAGCCTAATCCTAGAGAGAATTGATAGGTGTTTTATTAATAACTACTGGATCAACGAATTCCCTGAAGCTTTTATAACCCACCTACCTAGGACCTAGTCTGATCACTGCCCCCTTCTAGTTTAGTCAAATAATGGCACCCAATTTGTTAATACTAAGCCCTTTAGATTTGAGACCATGTGGTGCAGTCACCCTGCTTTCCCTGCCCTCATTCAAGATTCCTTTCCAACCCTTAATCCCCTCATTTCAAAGGTTTAGGAATAATGTTACTAATTGGAACAAACATACCTTTGGCAACATATTTTACAAAAAGAAGAGATTGTTGGCCAGGATTGCTGGCATCCAAAAATCTCCTAATTATCAATTTAGTCAATTCCTCCTAAATCTAGAAAACACTCTAATAGAGGAATTAGACTTAATCCTCTAGAATGAAGAGGATTTTTGGAAGTTGAAAGCTAGAATTAACTGGCTCTCTGATGGTGATGCTAACATCAGTTTTTTCATACTTCTACTCTAAATAGAAGAAGGAAAAACATGATCCTCTCTCTAAAAAATGAGGCAGGGAACTGGCAGCATGAGACGAAATCAAAGACTCCATTATCAGTTTCTTCAATGACCTTTACACATCTTCACACACCCAGTCCCCCATCTCCACTTCCACACCAACCCCCTAGAGTCTATCACTGTCCACAATACAAAAAGTCAATCTAGCTCTTCCTCTCATAGATAGTGAGATCAAAAGAGCAATTTTCTCATTCAAGCCCTTCAGAGCTCCTGGTCCTGATTATCCAGTTCTACAAAGAATGTTTCTCATCCAAAACAATGCACCCCAATATGAATGAGACCCTACTTTGCCTTATACCTAATTTACCCGGGACTCCATGATAAAAAATTTTAGGCCCATAGGTCTATGCAACACTGTCTACAAAACTGTGACTAAAATCCTAGTCAATAGAATCAAGCCCTACCTAGCACACATAATTGGTCCAGTCAAGCAATCTTCATGTCCAACAGGAGGGCTTCTGACAATGCTATTATTGTCCAGGAATACATCACCCACTTTGGAAAAATGAGAGGCAAAATACCTCACATGATCCTAAAGATTAACCTGGAAAAGGCTTTTGATAGGATCGAATGGTCCTTCATTAGGGACACTCTCCATGCTTTTAACTTCCCCACTGATATTATCAATATCATCATGTCCTGTGTAAGCTTCTCCTCCATCTTTGTTCTATTGAATGGGGACCAAACTCCCCTTCCCTTCAAACCAACTAGAGGCATCAGACAAGGTGATCCATTTTCCCCTTATTTGTTCATTATGTATATGGAAAGACTTTCTAGGCTAATTGATGAAGTTGTTTAGAATAAGGAGTGGTGCCCCATCAGCATCAGCAAGTCTGGTCCTAATATCTCTCACATATTCTTTGCTGATGACCTGAATTTATTTCCAAAGCTGACCAGAAAAACTATCCCACAATCATCAACACTTAAGCTCCTTCAATCAGGCTTCAGGCCAAAAAATCAATCTCACAAAGTTAAGAGTATTTTTCTCTACCAATTGACAACCCCAACAGATAGAGACCAACTTTAACAGATTATCCATCCAAGATTCATCTACCTTTGGCAAGTACCTGGGAATCCCTATAATCCATAAAAGACCTGTTAACAGTGATTTTTAATACATCATTGACAACATGCACTCCAAAATGGCTGGTTGAAAAATAAACTTTCTAAACATGACTGGGAGGAATACCCTAGCAAAAGCCTCCCTAAATAGCATACCAATCCATGTTATGCAATTCATCAAGCTCCCCTAAAAACAACAAATGAAATTGATAAAATTCAAAGGAATTTCATTTGGGGCACTACACCCAATAGAAAGAAAATGCACCTAGTAGGTTGGGACACTGTCACGAAGCCTAAGGTCCAGGGAGGGCTGGGAATATAAAGGGCTGAGTTGAAAAACAAAGCTACTCATTCAGGCCTTGCATGGAGACTCTTTCATAATACCTCCTCT